TCATTAAAGTTTTGATTCTTTATCACAAAGCGATTAAATCTGATGTTCCCTGGGAAGGAGCTTGCATCGATGTGAATGTTGGCTGGTGCCCAGCATCATGGACACATTGCTGCTTTGGATTAAGTGAAAATGAGCAGACTTTCTCAGTTCTGTTGCCCTCTGCACTGACATGTCAGGGGTAGAAGGATTTCTTCCTGAAATTCTGGGGACATATGACCCTTATGTTGGCTGAATGTGTATAATGACTGAACCATTCAGCTCTCAGACAGACTTCACTTGTTTGTGGCTTTGCAGCTCTCACAATCTATCTGCTAACAACAAAAATATTCCAATTATTTGGAGTGATGACATCATCCACACAGTTAGCCCAGAGCCAACATCAGCACTGCTACAAAGCATACAGTTATTTCTTGATAAGAATTATCATATTCTTCGTGCTGACCACAGTTTGGGTCAAGGTTCAGCACAGCGAGGCCACTGGGCAGCAGTAACATTTGCAGTAACGAAGCCGCTGAGCAGATGCAACCCTCAGTTCACTTGGTGACCAGGTCTGAAATGATGTATCTGCCGATTGCTCTCATGCCCCCTCGTCTCTTTACTTTGGTTTGAACAATCCTTGCTTAACACAAAACACTGTGGGGAGCAGTTGAGCTTGGAGGACCAGATAAGCTGTTCTGAGGTGCAGAGTTGAGGTGTTCTGCTGTGAACCAAAATGGTTCAGAAAAGGCCAGGGCATCAACAAAAGCTGCTTGGAAACGTCACAAGGCTGAACTAAAGCTGTTGCAAATGGAAAGATCAGCAGAGGATGCTCACACTGACAGAGCCTGGAAAAAGCAGAGAGGTATCTACATTTTGAAAATATCTATTTTTGAAAAGCCTCCAGTCATGGTGCTTTTTTTCAGTGTAATAAATTCTTGTTGGATTAATTACCTAATAGTGAAATTATCCCACTCTGCTAGAGGCAGATTTCTCGATGAAGTGAGGTAAAATATGATAGTTTGAAGGTCCCAGAGGTGGCAGAAGGGGCAGGGCTGCACTCAGTGAATGGACACTAATTCCCTGTCATTTCCCTATTCAGGCCTGGTAAAGCATATCACATCTGCTGCTTGAATTTTAGGCCAAGATAAAGGGAAACTTGTAAAGCCCTATAGCTCAAGAACGCCACATATTTAAAGCAGTAAATTCTTGCAGTGACTGTGATGCTTTTGCAGCATAGATTAAAGCAGACAAACTGCTGGGAGGGAGAGCAGAGTCACTTCACGGGACCACAACAGCAGCAGGTACCTGGGATCCTGCTGCTACAGCAAACAGTGGTGCCACAGTGCTGGGGTGGTTTATGCCTATGTAATGTCTGCAGGTCTAGAAATCACCAGAAAATGGACTAGGAGCTTCTCTGTGTCCTGTCTGAAGTGGGTTTGTCAAGATACGTCCAGGTCCTATTTAGGCACCACTACAGTTGTATGTCAGGTTCCTGGAAGTAAGAAAGGTGAAGGACCTTTCCATTAACTAGTGCAGAGTTGGTCCCTGCAAAGTCTTACATGGTTAAAAAAAAAAACCACCTGAGCTGTTTGAATTTCCCATAGAAGGCAGGAAGCAAATCAGTAGTGTAAGTGCCTATGAAGGCTAAAAAAGAACTAAAACAGGCCTTTCTTCTTTCCACTTGGTAATGAAAGCCTGAAAGGCTCTATATTGATGGGTTTTGTTCTAAGGCTTTAATTCTTCCTCCATTAGGGCTGCTGGAAGACTTTCTGGACAGACAGAAAAGAGGTCAGTAAGCATCACAGACAGTAGAGAAACCTGCATGTCTGTGCAGAGATGTTTAAATCTCAGTAATAGATTACCTGTTATGTTGCACATGGTAGTCTGGATGCTGCACACATTTCTTCCAGTGCAGGACTGCAAGCAAATGTCTAGCTCAGCCTTTACAAATGCACAAATGAGCTTGAATTATTTGCAATCAGTTGACGCCAGTCATGTACTTCAGTGTTTCCATGTTGATGATTTGTGTAGACAAATCCAAGAAGGGAAGTGATTTTGAGTCTGACTATTAAAAGCTTTTATGCTTGATTTTCTTAACAGCTGTTTCATCCCAACAGTCGGGAGAAAAACACCTTTTCATAAGGATTCTGTAAGGATCTTTCAGCTGGAGGATGAAGCAATTTCCCATCTACGTTTCCTGGTGCCCTTTCCATGAGATCAATGAATAATTCTTCCTGATATTTTAAAAGTTAGAAAAATAATAAACAGTAAATGACAGTTAAGGAGAAGTAAGCCAACCCAGACTTAGCTCTGTCCGCAAAGTCGGGTTGTTTCCCCTGCATTTCCAGATCACCTTAGCCATTATATTTTCCAGGTTTGAGTAGGTTACCTTGAGTAACCTGTATTTGTTTGACAAAGCCTGATTATTACTTGTAACTTGTGAACCTCAATAGTCACAAAGAGATTATAAGTGGCTTAGGGAAGGCATTTTGTCATGTCTCATCTAGTCCCCACACTTGTAGAGCCCTCTCCAGCACACTAAATCCATCGTCTGTTGGGTCAGAAAAGTATGTAAGTTGGCTGAGCCCCGAAATCATCTGCTCATGAGACAAGCTGGCCCAGGGATGGAGGGAAGGAAATCCTAATACCTGTTTGGAGATGGGTGCTGGCTCACTGCTCAGAGGAGCCCAGGCTCAGCTGCAGTCCTGCCTGGCCGCTCTCCCACTGCCCTTCCAGCCCTGCCAAAATCACTCAGCCCCACAAAGATGTGTGAGCAAGCGAGAGCCATGAGGAAGCAATAGCTGTTGCTTAAAAACAATAACATCGATGCCTGGGGAGCCTTCCTTCCTCTCCAGTGTGTGACATTTGTCAACTGATGTTGCATCTAACCTAGTGCTAGGGAGAGCTGAAGAGGAAATACCCTCCCCTCTTGCCTTCCCTGCCTCCAGCACCCAGATTGCCCAAGAGAAGACAAAGGGATATTTGGCAACTGCGCTCAGCTTTAATTTAACTTAAAAGTAGGGTTTTCCACATCCTTTAGGGCAAGGAGTGTCCAGCCGCCTTTCAGCTTCTGAGCGAAGCCCCAAGGCTGCTCCCGAAGGAGATCTTCACGCCTGCCCTTGGGGCAAGCGGCGCCTGGTTAATTCCTCCAACCAGCTACGAGGGAATATTTGTCCTCCCCCCCCCTACGTCCAGAAAAGCTTTGCATGTGGAACTTGTTAAAGATTTGTCCTGAGCTTGTTTCTTAAACATAAGCTACGAGTCAGGATGGGCCAAGGAAAACATACCAGTGCAGAATACACCTCATCAGCTCCACCAACCGCCCTGCCGGCACCGGCTCTGCCGAGGCTGCGGCCACATGCCCGTGGGGAGCCCGTGGGGTGGCGTGGCTGGAAGGGAACGGCACCCACATGCCCTCACCAGCCTGGCTGGGTGAGCAAGGGCGGGCAGTCCGAGGCCCGGACTGGCCGCTGCACCCTGCCAGCAGTGCCTCGCGTTCCCCGGACCGGGCCGAGTCTCCTACAGATGGGATGTCTGGGTACGGCCAACACAGTGACAGCGTAATAACTGAAAACTTACTATAACCGTGCGTATGGCCAGTGCCGTGTATCTTATCACAGTGGTGCCACCGCAGGGCCGTGCCGGGGCTTACTGCTCCTGCGAGTGCTCCGGGCGCGGGGCCCGCCCGCGCTGCGGCGGGGACGCGGGTCCTTTAAGTGGGGCCCGCCCTCGCGCCAACAAGTTCCAGCGCCGACCGCTCAACCAACCTCGCTCCACGGCCCTTCCCTGCCCGCCCATTGGCCAGGCGGCGCTAAGAGTCCCGCCTTCCGGCGCTGCTGGCCAATGGGAGGAGAGCTGGGCCAGGGCCGGGGTTAGGTTGATGCGTGTGGCCGATGGCCGGCGAGTGGCGGGTCAGTGCGGGGGCTCGGGGCTG